TGAGCCGCGGCCCATGCTGCTCGGAAAGCTCAGGCTCTCCTTGGAAAGACAGGGATGCAGCGAGAGGCTCCGCACTGAGACGTTCCTAAAAGCCAGCCAGGAGCTACGGTTGAACTGCTTTCACTGCATAATGCACCTGGCATGCAAATCCACAAAAAAAAAAAAAAAAAAAAAAGGGTGGATTTCCTACTCGGCTTCCAGAAAAGCTACAAGAGTTTGAACATTAAGATCCTGGTACTGCACTAATTGCTTGTCATTACAAGACACAGAAGAAACCATCCACTTCTCACAGCCTGAGCACTAAGAAATGCAATGACAGAATACTAAACATGCAAAAACTGAAAAAACAAAGTTATCCCAGTGAAACAAGTTGGCTTAAGACCCCTCACTTATGCAATAGGTTAAAAAGATGAATTCTTAACAGAAAACTGAGCAGAAGCAAATGGGTGAGTTAATGATAATGCACAATTTTGCTTTTTCTGTTTCTGGTTGTTAAGATTTTAAGTTATTGCTGCACCTTAGTATTTACCTTGTAACCTCCTCAGCACGCATTTACTAAAAGATGACAAATAAGAGCCAAATTAGACCTGAAAATCTAAAGAATCTCCAGCTCCCTTGCATGGGCTACAACCAAGCCTAATTTAAAGGGGAGAAGCAATCACTTCCCGGGCACAGCTCCCTACAGTCAAACGCAATAGTCCCGTGCAGAACAGATGAACTGTGCCTGGAGAAGCAGCCGATTTGCTTCCTGCTAACCCTGAAGGGAGCCTGGGGCAGCAAGCACTGTAGCTATGTGCAGAGGCATGAGAGGAATCCCATCTCTTCTGCCAGCAGGCAGCATCATCCTCTTGGGAAAAGGGGCCGAGGGCATCCGTGAGGATGCGCTGCCCTGGCCGGCCGCAGCTCCCGCGCTCCTGTGCCGTGCCGGCTCCCYTCCCAAGGGAGCGCCATCCCTTGCGGCAGGTATCGGAGCCTTTATGCATTAAAGGCTACCCCTGCAGTAATCAAAGCAGCCCAGAAAGGCCTGTACGCCTCGCGGTGCCTGAAGTGCTTTTCTGAAGAGCCAAAGCCCCAAGATGTTGATAGGAAAATTACAGTTCTTCTGTTCTCCCCTTCTCTCATCTTGTTGTAGAAACAGGAAGAGCTCGGTGCTTATCCCTGCTCCAACCGCACTTGTATTTCCAAACATTAGGGATATCATTAAATTTCCAAATGTTATGGATATCATAACTCAGGGAACAGCAAAACTGAATTAAGTCAGGTTGCAAAGGAAAATAATCACCATAGGTAATCAAGCAACATTTAGGAGAAGAAAACTGCAGAAATTAAAAATGCTAAACATAACTTACCTGCTATAACAGCAAAGCTGATCACGTAACACAATACTGAATGTAAGCTGGAAATCATAGCTCCGTGCAGTGCAACTGTGTTTTAAGCAGAAACGCAGGTATTCTGCAACAATTTATATGAAAGGCCATCCTAAAGACAGCACAATCAGCAGGCAGAATGATGCAGAGCATCTGCCCATAGAAAATGCTATGTTACAGATGGCACTGGATTATTATTATTATTATTATTATTATTATTATTTTTACTACAGATTTCCTTTTTTTGGCAAATGAAATTGAGTGCAAACCACTCAGTGCATCTTTTTCATACAAATTCTCCAAAATGGTCTTAATGTTCTGCAGTGCAACAAGTTGATAATAAATAGTAGAAATTAAACGGAAGACTTGCAAAAAAAAGAAAGGTGTGGCAAATACAAGCACTCAAAACAGAGGGTATTAATAGAGGCAAAGAGAAAAATTAAAAGCACGGGTAATGGAGAACTGAGCCTAGAGGAGAGAGAGAAAGGGAAGCTCTTTCAAGGGGCAGGAATTTCAAGCATGAAAGAGACATTACAACAGTGGCGAGACCAGAAAAAAAAAAAAGGAAAAAGTGCAAGCACACAAGGTGCTAACTGAGCAGAATATTAAAAAGAAGAAAAGATCTCTCTACAGAGACTGAAGGGCATTTACCAGGACTTTTATGCGGCTAGAGAGCCGAGGGAGATGCTTGATGCTGAAGGAAACGCTTCAGGTGGGTGCCAGGACCCAGGAACGTCCCGGCCAGGCTGAGCAAACAGCCCAGGGRGTGACCTGGCACGGAAGCTCCTGGCAAAGTCGCCCGCTGTGGTGCCACCRTTGAGTTTCTTTAGTTATCTCAAGAATAACCAAAACCTTGTGAAGCCTCCTAGGGAATTTTACGTTTTTCTCCAGGGGCAGGACAGAGTGGAAGCAGGCAATAAAGCCACGAGACCTGCTGGATTATACAGCAGTTGCAGACAGGAGAGAGCAAAAGGCGACAGACAGGAGCATCGCTGCTGGGAGCGCKGATGCAGGCCAGGATTTGCCACCTCTCCTTTCTCTCCACACTTCTCGTGCTCACATCTTGAACAAGAAGAACAGGTGAGCAGCAGAAGTGCATTGGGATGGGCTGCAGAAAAGCCCCTGCATTTTATCAAAAATAGCCTGTCAGACCTTCCTCTCGTGCACACTGCTGTAACTCCATGGGCTGCCTTTTATGCCAGCTAAGGATCTGACCACCTATGGTGAGTAACTGTTAAGAGGCAAGAAGCAGTTCCTTGCTCTGCCCGCACTCATAAAACCTCCTTTACACCATCACTTGCAAGGAGTAGCAGGGACTAAGGAGGCACGTGGCTGGCCCAGGGGAAGACAACGTAAAGCAGACACTTTAAATCAGCGCAACTTTAACATAGGAGAAAAATCCTAGCCCACTGGCCATGTTTGCCCATGGAGGCACCTCCGCTGGGCCACATCCCAGCGCAGTGGAGCCACCCCCGGAATGGCTGCTGGGATCCTGCYGACGGAGCCTGGCTCCGTGCCTGTGAGTTGGGATCGGGCGACTTGGTGGCCTCGCTCCAGCCTGTGGTGAATCCCAGYGGAGGCGATGGCAGAGCCGGGTGCTACTGCCAAGAAGCTGCTGAGCAACCCAGCTAAGCCCTAGCTACACTAGAAACCTTCACCCCACATTTAATAAATTGCTCTCCAGCTCTCAGGGAAAAGACCATGATGTGGCTGAAAGTGGAAATAAAAGAAAGCAAAAAGTCCTGCTTGTCCACGGCCATCTCGGAGAATCCTTACGGGAGAAGTAGTTCAAACACACTCAGCACAAAACCCTAAGCGTAATGAATTATTCATCTGGGCAGAGGGACGGAAATACTGGCTTTTTGTTCGCCTGCTTGCTAGATGCAAAGGGAAAATAAAGACAACGGGACTTTCTCCGAGCTCTCCGACAACAACAACTCATCAGRACTAACACAGACGGGATGGAAATGAAGAGGAGACTTGAAAAATTCTTTAAGCGAGAGCTGGCAACCACTTTCTATGCAAGTGTCTGAAATTGCTGTTAGTTAAAACCCGAAATAGAACCATTATGGCCTCTGCATAAAACTTAACTTAACAAGAGCCCTAAAGACTAAGGTTACAATACTGAATCTTGTTTTATTGCAACTGAAATCTGAGCGGTCTCTGTCCTACTTAATGCCACAGGCCTGGACGCCAAGACGAGCTCAAAACTCATTGTAAAACAACCCACTATTGCTCCGCAGAGGAATAAGGAGATGACAGAGCCTGCCAGTTAAACCCTGTTACTAGAGAACCTGAGTCTTTGAGGTGTTCCAGTATTTTACCACCAAATGAAAATTAAAACTCGTGTATGAGTTAAGAATAAGATCCAGAACTATTTTTTTCCCCATAATGTAAAGGATGGGCCAGCAGCTATGTGCAGTTTGCTAGTTCTCTAATAATAACAATTCACTAATAAGAAACAGAGAAGTGACTTGTACCTCTGCTGTGTCTGCTGGACTTCTGGGCTCTGATATCAGTCTCTGAAAGCAAGTTTCCAAAGGAAAGGCTGAGCACTTACCTAAGATGCCACTTGCCTTCTCAATGAATTGTCCTTCTCTTTAGAAACTTTATTCAAAAGTCTAGTGCCAAATCACACTAGGTGCAAAACCACACACATTTTCCCCAGGAATAAAATTACCAGAGCAAAGCAACAAATTGGGATGGTGTTAGCATGAAAACAGATTTACCAACGCTTTCTGTAATTTAGAATATGGTAGACCACTCCTCTCTGTTTATGCCCTGCTCTGCTTGGTCCTTTTTCTACAAAGCAGGTTTTTAGATACAGTTCTTCCCAGTCTCAGAGCAGGGTAGGCAACGCTGCTATGCTATTCCACATGGATCATCACTGGGARCTCCCAGTGACAAAACCTGCTTCTTTTGTCTTCTCTCAACTCAGTAACTCACTTCTGTTTTTATCACTTCCACCAAAGAACCTCTTACAGGGTCAGATTCTGCCCTCCTTTGACAGGAATTCTCAGCAACTTCAACCCAGCTGTGAGCAGACATTTAAGGCAGCACTTGGTCTTGCTTCCTTCTTTCCCCTCATACGTTTGCCAGGTGGCTTTATTTAGTGTATATTCCCTGCATTGCCTCTCAGATTGATTTCT